TAGTGCTAAGATTCTCAATTTTTGAGGGCCGATAAACAGAGGGATTGTAAAACAAAGTGTAGGTTGGGCAGAAAGAAAAGAACCTGATTGTTGTTGGGATATTTCATTGTCCAGCCGCACGGTTCCTACTATGGCTGGGCATCCTCGTTTTCCTGAATAAATACTCCCCTAGTCTTGACTATGCCTCGACTTTGCTTTTTGGGGCAGTTTTCGACTTTGTGGCCTTCTCCACCGCAATACAAGCATAAATTTTCCTCCATATGTCGCTTTTTTTCTTCTATAGTAAGAGATTTGATACGTACCGCATCAATTTGCATGTCTTCCACCTCTGAATGCGAATTCACACCGCTTGTCGACATAGTTGGAGCATGATGAATTGTATGTTGTCTTGAGCGTTGGTCTTGGCGACGTTGGAATAGGTGATTATCGCACTTCACAGCTTGGCTAATGGCTTCATTGAGCGTTCGTGGATCAGGAAGAGTTAACAGCAAATCCTTCACATCATCTCTTAAACCCCAATAGAATTGACTCATCAACGCTTCTTCATCCCAATTGATGTCGCATACTAATTGCCTAAAATCCGAAGCATAGACTGATGTAGAACGCATCCCTTGTCGTAGCGACCGGATCTTTGTTGTAGCCCATTGAACCTTATCGTGTTCACCAAATGCTTCCGCAAATGCTTCCAAAAAGGTTGCGAAGTTGTTTAATATGGATGATCGTTTCTCAAACAAAGGAGCAAACCATGATAGAGCTTGTCCCGTAAGTAAGGTTCCAACAAGCCCAACACGTGATTCCTCCATTGGATATCGTTCGGGCTGTAAAACTGTTATCAACCTGATTTGATTGACGAATCCTCGAAACTTGGAACGTGTTCCATCAAACTTATCTGGAAGGCTAACTCGAGGCTCTTTATGTTGTAGAATTAGTGGTTCTTGTCGAACCTGAGGTAAAGTTGTTTCTCCAAGTGTCGAAATTTGAGGCTGGTGTAGTTTAGATTGTGCTATCCCAGATACTCCATCATTATGAAGCCTTGCCACCACTCCTTCAATCTCTGCAGTTCTTTGTGATAACGTAGCGAGGGCATTCATAATAGCATCTAACTCAGACTCCGAACTTTCTGTCATACTAATGTCTTGACCTCCGGCCATTCTAAAAGAAAGACAAAAATGACCCTATAAGAGGCAATATTGGTTTACAGGAGGGTAATCCATAACCTATAAAATGCCTTAAGAATTTCAAGAAGAGGGGTAATCCACTCTCTCCAAGAAGAATAAGACTCCAATATTGTAACAGAAGAAGTATCAGTTTAGAGGAGGGTAATCCGCAATCTCTAAAAAATACTAGTATACCTTCAAGTAGAGGAGTAATCCACACTCTACTAAGAAAGAACTAGCTCTGATATCTCAAGTTAGTGTAGTCTCGACAAACTGTCACGGACACAGAATACAGACTTGATATCTACCAAGAGGTTCAAGAAGAACTGGCAAGAACTAGATTAATCAAATGAATACAAGAACAACACCAGAGAGGTGAGCTAGAGCTCCAAGAGATGTGTTGTCGAGACTGAAGAACTCTTCAGCCTCGATCCCTATATATACTCCTACTTAGGAAGCTTCTCGAGCTACTTCTATTAACTAGAAAGCTTCTAGAAGGTTCCAGAGGCTTCCTTTCTAGAAGGTTCTAGAAACTTCTCGAGCTACTTCTATTAACTAGGAAGCTTCTAGAAAGTTCCAAGGGATTCTTTTCTAGAAGCTTTTAGAAACTTCTCTTCTAGAAGGTTCCAGAGACTTCCTTTCTAGAAGCTTCTAGAAACTTCTCTCTAAAAGGTTCCAGAGGCTTCTCTTCTAGAAGGTTCTAGAGGCTTGTTTTCTAGAAGGTTCTAGAAACTTCTCTCTAGAAAGTTCTAAGGAATATGTCCCTAACAGTTATTGAGTTAAAAAGTTATATATGAAAATTTTAAGATATTTAAATACTTAATTTGTGAGATATGAAGAAATTTGTATATAGATGTATATAAGCAAGGGTTTGAAGCTACTATTAGAATTTTGGTGATATCTCAAGATCTGTAACAAAAATTCCAATTAAAATTTGTTACAGTAGTTATTAAAAGTACATCAATACTTCATGTAAAATTTGGATTTGTTTGGATGGTCCAAACGTGAGATATGAATTATTGAAGTTTAGAAAGAATTTATCTTAAAGATATCTAATTTTTATATAATATTTTTATTACATTTTTGGTAATCTTTGGTACTTAAGGCTTATGTATTGATGTAATTGCTCCTATAGGGATAATTTTATATATAGACTTAGTATTTTTTTTATATAAAAGGTTAGTTGAGTATTTTGTGAGAGCCAAACTCCAATGCTTTCCTAAGGCAAATTCTCTCTATTACAATATGGACAACACAAGACCTTTTGAGTGGGTGATTTGGTATTATTCTCCAATGCCAACATGCCACTTGCTACATCAATCCAAATCTATAAATTGGCATCTTAGTGCCTTGGATTCTTCTACATTTTTGTAATGATTTGTGATACCATATATTGCCTTGAACTTCTGCGACAAGTCTTCCATGTTTTATATGATATCACATATTTGGATCCATCCAATCTTCTATGTTTTGTAATTCAAGGAATTTCATACTGAGCCAAAGAGATTTTTGGATCGACACCAATCACCACCACCACTAGTTGTAATTGATGACTAACAAGAGTATGAAATAGACATCATTTTGAAGCATTGCTACCTTTGATATGGTAGTGGACATCTACAACTTTAATACAAAGTTCTTAGGAAAAGTTATTCCATCTACTATGCAACATAGGAACCTGCACAAAACCTCACTCATTGCCAAGAGACAATTTGGAGATACTATCAAGAGTAATACGATGACATTCCGCATTAGTAGAGAGAGATTAACTGTAACAAGGTATAGATAAGATATTTGTATTGTTGTTATATAAGAATAAATAGTTGAAATCATATTTGAATAGTTATAGAAGTTTCTAGAATTGAGGTTGGGTTAGTGGACAATATAGGATCTACCATGGAATATTTTAGAAAGAACTTAGGATGATTATTTAGATGGGATCCACCATATAACATTCTAAAAAGGATTTAAGATGGCTATCTAAGTAGAACCTATTATAGAACCTTCTAAAAAGAATTTAGGATAATTATTTAAAATGGATCCATTATTAAGAATATTCTAGAAAGTTCTAAGATGGTTTAACAAAGTATAAATAAAATTAGCCAAGGCCTTTTGGACATTTGGTCAAGTATGGCTTTAGATCTTCTTTCTTAATAAAGTTTGGTTTTGTATCTTCTTGTTCAATTCTATTCTGTTCTATTTTCATTTACTTAGTTTTTTCTTTTATGTCCTATTCTGTATAATTTTGTTCAATTTTGTTTTGGTCTATTTTGTCCTACTATGTGATGAGGCTTTATATTGCTATGGATTAGAAGAGTCTTAGATACTTGACATAAATCAGGTCAATTCAACTCAAATTCATTTCAACTGATCATGTTTCAAAAGAGAATTTTAAATAATACTTAAGAAAAAAATCATAATTAAAAATATCTTTAGAATGTCATTTATATAATGTATATTCAATCTATTGAATATTTTCCATTAGATTTTTATTTTGAATATATTTATAAAAGATAATCGCTAAATAATTCAAGATATAAAATTATGTGCTTTCATGGATAAAAATTTAAATAAGTAGATTAGAAAAAAAAATTGATTTTTAAAATTTAAAATTTAAAATTTTTATTGACTAAGTTAAAAAAATAGAAAAATAGAAAATATTTTAAAAAAAATAGAAAAGTTTTATTTTTAAAATATTAAATATATATAAAAAATATTAAAATTATTTACTTATTTATTAAATTGTTCCATCCTATCATGAGAAATAAGGAGAGTTGGGATGAGAGCCAAAAACAAAGAGAATGAGGGTTGGGAAAAAAAGGAGTGAGAAAGAGGGTCATGATTGTAATGATGGTTTTTAGAGATGATTCATTCTTTTTAATGATGGTTACAATAGAATAGATTGATTTAATAAAAAGGTGGATTATTTTAATATTTCTTTATATATATGTATATATAAATTGAAGTGATAAATTTTATTAAATTTTTAATTATAATTTTAGTATAATAATCTTATAATGAATTGATTTTTTAGATTATTGCTTGATACAAATATAAAATTTTAAACCTATTATAAATATTTTTTTTAAAGATATTTAGAATTATGTCACAATATATTGATTAAAAATTTTTTTTATAAGATAATTTTTTTATTACTTTGAAAAATAAGATTCTTAAGCAATCTATAACAAATCCAAAATATTTATTTATTTATTTATGTTAAATTCAAATTCATAAATTTATGAATAGAAAAAAAAAAAATTCTAATATTAACATATGTTTGGAATTCCTAATATTCAAATAAAATCATCATTGCAAATAAATTTTATTCACAAAATAGACGTTTGAGCCAAAACACCAAAGAAATCCAACATACTATCTTGGAATATCTTTGTGCCATCAAAACCAAGATGGGCTTGTTTTTCAATCACAACTCAAAACTCATCTCTCAAATTCCCAGAAAGTTTAAAATTCAAAATATGAGTAAAAAAACTTCAAAACTGGGAAAATACAACAGCTAATACAAAAAGCAAACACACACACATACATTACGACCCGGAACTGATACCCGGACGTCGCACCCTCTTCGTACCCTGTCGATCTGGTGGACTCCACGAAGCGACTACCAGTACCCGGGCCTCAACGACCAGTCATCACAACCCAGGCATCAATGGCTAGACAAAAACCTTGACTCCAATCCGGGTATAGACAGCAGGGCAGAACGACGCGGACATCAAAACGAGGAACGCAGAACCCGGGTACCTAAGTGAGAAAGGCGTCAACTCCAGGGAGCGGATATCGGGCGGGGGTAATGGGATAAACTACCAGCCCAGCAGCACTCGCAGCCAGGCGACGAGCGGGCTCGTCGACGCCACTAAACTCTTTTTGTTATTTTGTGTGTTCGTGCTTTAGTGACTCAAAGCCAGTCCAGCTCAATGCCTGGCCCTCTGCCCTCCCTCTAACTAATTATCTCGCCTGATTTAGTTGCTTTTGCAGCCTGAGATTGATTCACTTCCCTGTGGCTCCGTTGCGTTGCGTTGAGTTGAGTTCGAGTTTGAGGTGGAGGTTGCGTCTACGGCGAAGAGAGTATGTTGAGCCCGTGACGAGGAGGTTGTTTGTTTGCAAGGAGTACAGCAGTGAAGTATTCTTCTTCATGGAGATTGCTGTGTGCGCTTCGCTGCAGGCGACTGTGCGCCCCGCCCGGGCATGGTGCTGCGGAATTGCAGGTCTTCGGGAGGTGCAATTGGTGCGAGTTCGGAAGGAGAGGCGGGGCGACGCGGTGCTTGGAAGACGTGGGAATGGATTGGAGAGGCGGCAACAGCTGTGGATTGGTGGGGTAGCGAGGACGGGATGGGGTTATGGATGGGGAACTGGACATGGTCGGGGAAGGGTGAGGAGTATGGTGGTGGTGGCCACGTCGAGGTCGGCCGAGGGGACGGCTGTGGAGGAAAGAAATGGAAGTGAAGCGGGAATTGGCTGGAGTTTGGAGGAATTGGCGGAGGGGAGAGGGGTTGATGAGCAAGGGAAGAGATTAGTGCACGCATTACGCGAGTCTGCGAGTGTGATTTTGGCCGAGTTGGAGAAGCGGAAGTCGCTCGCTAGCACGTCATGGTTCCCCCCCAATTGGTTCCCTGCGGACAAGAATGCGTGGATGAAGTCTTTGTCTTATCAGGTTCGTGAGGTGAATGGTCATTTTTTCTTGATTGAGTGATTCGGAACCACTTGCAAAAGAAACTTAGTGTCTGTTTTCGTGGCTTGGTGGTATTGGTTACGGCTGGCGCACATGAGCAATTTGTCAATGGGATCATTGCACTTTCTGGATTGATCAGTAGTAATTTCTCAGGTTATCTGGCTGTTGAGGAGGTAGCACAGTTGATTTTCCCATAAATTTTCGATTAGGTTCAGGAACCCTCATCAATTGTTATTGGCAACAAAGCTGTAGCAGCAGATAGTATGATGACGAAACTGAGAATTTGTGCGTGAAGGCGGGTGTTGATGCGGTTCTTTCACCTGCTTATTCAGCGGACTTGTAGATGGAAATTGCGCCTAGAATATTCTCTCTTACTATTCTGGATAGAATATCTGCAATCAACATGGAGATAACGAAACTGTGATCCGTAAGCTGGATTAGGACGTTATTCTTATCTTATGGTTGTAAGAAACTGGGTACGAAACTGCTGAGTGAGTTACTCTGACAAAGTGTTGAAATGCAATTTCTTTCTGTGACAGTCTGCAGTGCACGCACTCCTTAAATCAGTTATCGACATTGCTGCCCAAGGTCAAGTGGGGAATCGAAGTGTCCGTGTGTTTGTAATACGCAGGTTAGTCTTCTTGACAAGCAGATCAAAGTTCAACGTGCGACTACATTATCTGCTGCTCTAATTGTAGTCTGAGAAATCATGTTTGATAATTATTACTCTAAATCCCTCTAGTTACATGATTGTATCTGTTTGGGTGTTGAGGTAGCATACATGATCAAGGAGATCCTCTGAAGTACGTAGTATTTAGGAGAATTCGTGGCTCTTCGTTAGAAACAGTATGTGATGGTTGATGTTGCTTGGGTGCAGGCTACTGGAGGTTTCATCTCCACTAGAAGATTCGATCAGACATGAGTTGTCATCTAGAGATCCTGCTGCTGATGACTGGCTTTGGTTACAACAGCATCCACTTACAGTGTCGAATTTCGTCAGTATTCTGGAAGGCGGAAATCAGTTAAACACTACCTCCACGTATATGCCTTTATACCTATCATTTTTTACTCTTTTATTTAATTTTTTGTTGCAGAAGATTGTGCGATTCAATTACAATTGTAAAATGTGAATTCATTCTGGACCTGCAATGTCCTTATCTCAATGAATCTGTAATGGGTGATTGTATTGAAAATCATGCCTGCTGACGATTTACATGTTCTTCAAAAGACGTAGACTACGCATTCTTATGCTATGTAAGACTATTTTCACCCTAAAATTCTGTATGCTTAATATGTTGTAGAGTTGATGAATCAACCCCATATATTGGGGGTGACGTGGAGCTTTTGAAATTTGCTCTCAGCATGACTTCAGCATTGCTGATGCTGGGTTCCGCTCCAGTTTCGAACCCTTTATTCTCGTCAGCTCTTGTACAGGGGATCTTTGATCTCATGGAGAAGCTACAAGAGAGCATTTCAATGAATCAGGTCTATCAGTTCTGCTGGGATGTCGGATTGAAGCAAGAGTTTTTGGAAAAATTTGGTCATCAAGCAGCAGATGATAATAAATGGCGGGATGCTGCAGAAGGAGAGTTCTGGGTATACCTTGTTCATCAGCTACTTCGGGAAGCTCTTATTAGGGAGGGTGTTAGGTTAAGAATTGAATCTCGAGATTCCATTGAGGTAAGTAGCTTTAAGTTTAACTCGGGGTTTCAAACCACTGATTACTTTAGCCTTCAACATCCACTTTGATTTCATCTTTTAGTTGAGTATGTTTGGGCACATCATGGGTAGGAAGTTCGCTAGCTTCAAACGAGATGCGTTTCCTGTAACTGCTAGGAAGTATTCATGGACACTTCAGCCTCTTGCACATACTTGTGTTTTATTCGACACTTGGGTGGTTTCTACAGATACTTGAAAAAGATTTAGCAGTCTTCGGCTTTTTTGCCGTCTTAGGAAGAAGGACTCGTGCGTATTTGGCATCTAAAGGTGTTAGTGTCTCAGAGGAATCTCTCGAAAATCTACTTAGGTGAGTGTATGAAGAAGCCATCACCAACTCGAATGGTTTGAATATTGAATGATTATGCTTGAAAATCATCTCTAAGCTTACATCGGTTTCTTAACTCACCAAGAATGTTTTTGGTCTTTCCGATGAGTACTGGTGTTGCTAAGGAATGACATTTGAGTCAGATATTTGGAAGGTGGAAGCGTTCTTTTCTATCCCCAATTGGCGAAAATACCTGTCTACCAACTCTTTATTGAGGTTAGTACCCTACAGTGATGCCTCTGTTGTTGAAGGTTCATCAGTTAAACCATTGTATGCAATTCTGTTTGAAACTTGCTATAAGCTTTACTTGCTGAAGCAATCCTTTTTTTCAGGTTTCAAGGTTGAGGCACTGATCTACCTCTTTTTGCTTGTCAGAATCGAAATTATCTCTGAACGTGTTCAGTTTGGTGTCTTTTATTTTCACTTCAATTTCAAAGTAATTGCATTGGATGTCTTGCGGATGAGATTGTAAAGTCAACTGAAGTTGTGGGAAGCAAGAGTATAGATTCTATCTTAATTGCAACATGGCATGTCTGAATACTTTTCTAGACCTAATTTCTCCACAACCAAATTTCTTAGACAACGGAAGAGGGCAAGAACGTTTGATTATTTTTTTGTTTTAATGTTTTTTTATATTGTTGAATGTGACTTTGGTTACACTTATATGTGTCATGTAGCGTGGTTGTTGCAATTGTGCACTAGTGCATGATACAATAGCATTTAATAGAAATAGGCTACAAGAACAGCGGATGAAATTGAATGAGCGTGCATGTTGATGCAGGTAGTTTGTGAGGAGATGGAGTGGCTTCCGTTTTATCCAGTGAGTGCAACGGCTGTGAGTCTCGACGCTCACGAAGAAGATAGCGAAGTGAAATCTCGAGTGGGAAAAGTGGAGAAGCTGCTCGCAATCGCTGTATCTGCCCAGGTCTGCTCGCTATGGGTTAAGAACTTTGTTGAGCACAATGTGTGGATACGACAACCTGAAGGAACTCGAGCCGCAACATTCCTGTTAAAGAGGTGGCTCTAATTATTTTTTTTCTTTTCTTTTTCTTTTTCTTTTTCATCTGTATAGTACTAAACATTGTTTCTTGTGTTTCAACCACTAAGCTTTCTGTATAATGCTAAACATGGTGTTGGCTGCCATAAAACGTGGATGCACATTTATCATCTTTTCTGTATGTACAGTCAACAACGCTTGGATGAGTGCAATGAAGTCTACGAGCTTGTGAAGCGCAGCGGAAAAGATAACATCTTTTGGTAAGCGTATTGGCATCGTCACAACCCTCCGAACTTTTTGTGTGATACTTGGGAGCAGCCGCGATCCATGGACCGCCCTGGACAAATATACTGCTGATTTGTGGAGTGTTATTTTTGGTTCGATGACCTAATTTGGAATCGCATAGAACTATATATATCGCTAATGAAATGCCACTGAATTTGATTGCTACCCTGTTCCTAGGTTGTAATCCTAAATTTTGGCTTTCGTGGGTGTAGCTTGTTATTTACTGGTCTGACAGCACATTTATCGATTGACTAAATATCAAGTTGTCACTAACATTTCTACGTGTGAAAACCTCTAGATAAACCCTCTTGTTTGAAACCCCACGATAATCACACTGGCATAGCTAGGCCTTAAATCAAACGCAAGAATATTTGAGCATGACATCATCTCGATCTGGGCCTAACAACGAGCATGCCTGCATTATTCTCTGCTCATAAAATAGGAATGGAGCAGCTGAAGCCGGATATATGGATCGATTGATTTATCAGGGCCTGCAAGAGAGAAGTTTAGAGAAGACCATCATCAATGAGGCCGGCAGATTTCGTCCAGATATACGACCTTCAAGTACAAACGAACAGCTTGCAGTAGAGCGGGAAAATTTACAGGAGGTGGAGCAACTATTAAAATCAGTAGACAAGGTGTTTGAACGACTTTGTTTCACTGCTTTCGCTGTGGGGAGCTCATATTGTCGTCATGGCTCCATTGGTTCTGATCAAGTCTGCTTCACCTAAATTGGGCAGTGTTTGATCATCTTTTCTATGTTCTTTTGTTGCTTGGTTCAGTGTGTCTTTTCACGACCCTAAATTTTCTTCTTTTTTGTGTGAGACCACTCCTTTGACCATCACTACCTTGTGCATGATGCAACTGTGTTCATGGTTTTCCCAACGTATTGAAGGTCCTCTGCGGAACGCTTGTTGTAGGAAATGCAAACCGTGAATATTGCCTTGGCGAAATTGGAATTGCTCGTCAAAGAACTGGAGGTTACTAGCTCGGCAGAAAGTGAACGATCTCGCGAAGATCTTGATAAGATCAAGTCATTGAAACAAGATGTCGAAGTTTTTAGGGCTTCTCTTAAGTCGGAAGCGTCTGCCAAGGAAATGAGAATCTTGGAGCTTCAGGTCAGTGGTGTAGCGTGGCGAATAACCGTAGCTATTTCCTCTTTCATTTTATATGGTCTTATTCTGGTTATTTTATCTTGAGTTAAAAATACTTGGTGAGATTCATACTCTTACTATGCTTTGTGCTTATCTGGTTTCACATGGGTGTGTTGGATGGATTCTAAAGGCTGAGCTAGAGATGTTTGCAAGTAGCAAAAGTCAACCTCAGGTCTTAAATTTGCGAGACCGTTATTTGGGGACTACTACAGACGATAGTAGTTTACAGTTTCAAAGAAGGTACATTGATTTGAACCTGCAACGTATTAGTCATGGTATTGCGGTGTGGAGAATTCTCGTTACATGAGCTGCTGTGTTGCACACGTGAATACTCTTTTAGGCTCCAGATCAAGGTACGATTCTATGAAAAGATCCTGGAGGGATTAATTTGGTCTTACAAATGTGGTTGGATGTTCCAGGAGGAGCGAAGTCTCAGAGGTAGCTGACAAATATGAACGTCTTGACCCTGCTCGTGTGTTATACCTGCTGATCCAGATGATGGTCAATTGTTTCATTTCAAGTAATTCATGTATTGCATGTAGAATTGAGGGAAGACACTTTCCTGTTTGTACAATTTCTGGGTCTGGTATGTGAGGACTGTGGTGACTGACTCGACGTGGGAATACAGGACAAGATAAAAGGGGAGGCAATTATTGTAGAAGGAAATGGAGCAGCAAAGAGTGCTAAGACATTTGAGCTGTTGATGACTGAATTGGCTGAGTTAGAGTTTCGAATTCAACAATCTGTTGATCAATCAGCCTCCCTGCGGGTTAGTGTGTTAAATTTACTTACCTTGCTGAACACCCTATGAAGACTTCTCTTGAAAGTCCGGAGATGGAGGGATCAGTATGTCTAAATCAGTAATTAGTTTGTTTTTCTGTTTACTAGAGTGCAATTATGCTCTGTTATTGTGCGTGTTCAGGATACGAAGGTTTCTGAGTTCCTTTTGTGCTACTTGAATCTTGAAACTCATTGTGTTGCAGTCATTGACAGAGGAGGAATGGAATAGGGCATCTGTGTATGATATTACCACAACAACTGCCTTGGCTAGGATAAATGAGAATGTGGATCTTACTGAACATGGTTTCTTCGCCAAATCGATTGAAAAGCTGAAAAGTGCTACTCTCGTAAGCGCTCATTTACCTTACATCAATGTTTCACGGATATCGCTGATTGGGTATCCCTAGTTTATTGAAATTAGTCTTTACAAGGTTGAGAAGAACTAATATCTGTGTAAACCGTTCTCGGCCTTCTGCATCATTGATCCAAGTGTGTTACCTTTTAAACAGGATATATGGAGGGGCTCATGTTTGTTGGGTACAGACGTAGGAGTCTCTTTGGTTCTTCTGAGACGGAAAGTGTTGGGCCAAAATCTTACCAGTCGCGAGAAGAAGATATTGAAACGCACAGTTACTGACATGGTGTCTGTTGTACCCATTGGCTTTCTTATGCTTTTGCCCGTAAGTTGCTGAAGGACCCGGAATTTTCGTTTCTCTTTGTGGATGTCTATCTTTGATCTTTTCATCCTTTATGCTGCTATTTCTTCAATGATTTTTCTGGTACATCTCCTTATCGATAAAACTCCGGTTACCTGTTTGGCGTCAAACCAGCTAGCTAAACCGCAGCTCACGTTTGTGATTATGAAACAAATTTTGGTTGGTTTTGCACAGGTGACTGCTGTTGGACACGCAGCAATACTAGCTGCGATTCAGAAATATGTTCCTGGTTTGGTGAGTGCCACATCTCCTCAATGATCAATGATATATAGAGAATTGGACTTGCACATTGAGTGCACTGTGGATAATTAAGTGAATCATCATGATTTTGGACCTCATTTTTCTATTGAAGTAGAAACCACTTGAAAATGTAACTTCTGTTGTGACATCTCCGAATGAAATTAGGATAGTTTAGGTAAGTCAGCCTACGAATTCTGTTCAACTTCGCACCGTTTTTTCTACAACATTATTAAACATGCGGTTGGAGATGCAGATTCCAAGTGCTTATGGACCTCAGCGATTAGACGTATTGCGCCGACTGGAGCAACTACGAAAAATGGAACCTGAGTCTCCAGAACCAGTAGATCTGTCGTCTTCGAGAAATCTGGATAGCTCTTTGCGCAAGGAAGTGGCATAAAAGACAGACGGATGAACACCAGAATACATTTGGAGTTGTACACGTATTGAGAACTTGCTGCTGCGGCAAGATCCATTTTGTTACCTTGTCATTTTTGTTATTTAAAGACGAAACCCTTCATTTAGATAGTTTAGGTAGCGCTACACCCACCCAATTGTGATTTTTAATTTAGTGTAAAGTGGCCAAACTCTTGCCTGTGTAACATCAAAGTGTACATGATTCAACAGAAGAAACTACTCAGGGTAAATGTTCCCTTCGGGCGAAACGGATAGCTCTGGTGTTATCTTCTACCATGCTATTCTTCTGTGCTTCTACACCTGTAAAGACTTAATCTTTGAATGAGTTGCTTATTAATGCCTACACGCAGAGTTCGATTCAGAATACTCTGTCCTGTTGCAATAACAACTGGAGTATTCGCGTTTGTTGTCACTTGCAGCGGTGGTCTCAACCCAATCAAGGGCTATGGGAAGAGAGAGAGGTTACAAAAACCCAGTTCTGAACCATCGATTGAGTAATGTAATATCGTTACACACAAGCACTTGTTGATGCATTCGCAGGTTCTGGTTCAATGAGAGATGCGCAGACCTCAGTTTCTAGGAGGCCCACTTGATAAGGGGGATTGTTGTTGCCCCGAAATCTGTATGTAACACAGTTATGATAAACATCGAGCAGATCAGGACATCAGCAAGTGTCGGGAAGCTTGTAGTTTCGACCACCTGCTACAAGGAAGAACATTCGTGCTTTCATGGTGAAAATTCTCGTATGCCCAAGCAGGTACTCCACCTCCGAAGAAGCAACCGAATGCCTCCATCACACAAACAATGCTGTGAATTGCAAGAGATTTGTGTGCACTGGGTCTGATGCCAAGCGCGAAGTGATCAGATTGTTTTTCCTACGATGCTTGTCCAGACCATGATGTGCTGATGTTAAAAAGTGGTATCGATATAGTTGGGTTATCGATTCACTAGCTGTTGATGAATATTACGCCAAAAGTTGCAGGTTCTGGACACTGTAAACGCCGAAGTAGAATTGGATTGTAGAGGAGGTGCGTTGATCTGATATGTACCAGTTTTGTTTCATTTTGGAAACAGAATATCACCATTTTAATCGTATGAAAACTGTTTTGAATTATCACGTTGTTTTGTGATAAGTTATATTTCATCAGCATGAGTTATATCTAAATGTAGTTTTATTTACTTACTATTACTATTATATGTGAAATTGAAATTTATTATTAAATGAAGTTGCAGTGTTGTAAGGCTGGGCGCTTTCACTGAAAAACTAAATAATTTGATCATTTTCTTTGTTACTGAATATTCTTTTTCAAACAAAAATAATCACACATAATTTTTTATTTTATTTTATTAAAAACGCAAGAAAAAAATCAAAAAATTGAATTGAATGAGTTTTTTTAAAGTTATTACAAGTGGAACATAGAATATTTTGTAGAAAAATACACAAAAATTCTATTAGGTTTATTAATAATAAATTTTTAGAATTAATTAAATCATGCTTCTTGATTCATATAAAAAATTGGTAAAAATTTATAATTTTTCGATAAATCAGTTTAGTACAATTAGAAAATTAATGCTTGTACTATTAAAATACAATTTTTTTAGTTGTTCTGATTGATAAATTTATAATTTAGTAGAGTTTTTTTATATTTTAAAAAAATAATACTTAAATGTAAATTCAAGCAATAAAAATTGTTTTAGAAAAAAGCTTCATTAGAAAGATCTGTATAAATTTTTATGACAAAAACTTCTTGACTATTTTTTAATTATATGGTTTTAATGTCTTACATGATAAGTTGCTAGAAGTGTGAATAACAATTTTTTAGTCTTATATGTAATTTATAGATGGAGAATTGAGGCCATTTTAACTGTCTATTATTATTTTATTGTCTTATTTATATTGTAGCTTCTGAGATTATTTTTTATTTTTTATTTTTTAAAAATCTCAGCATAACAAGATAGTTAACTCAAAATCTCCACCATTTTTAATTCTGGTTATAAACTCTATATAATTCAAGTCGAAATCATCTATTTATAATAAAACATGTCAAATTTTGTATTTAAAAAATAAACAAAAGCAAACTAAATATTAATAAAATTTAAAACTTATTAAAAGGGTGACGGCCTGAAAAATCTTAGGGTTAGTTTCTGGTCTCAGAGGTAGTGACAACATTCACAGAAATTAGTGCTTCTGTAGCTCGAACTGAGGTTCCGTTCCATGACACCACACTGATTAAAAAACACTACACAAATTCCTTTAACATAACTCACAACACACAAATTCTAAAAGTGTCAGTCGCAGACCCAGACTAAAACCGTCATAACGACAAGCTCCAGAATATATATATATATATATATATATATATAGATACTTACATATCTATACTACAAAGATATCTCAAAGCAACAAGAATTCACCAACGGACCTCCGTACCCACAAACTCACAAACATCCCGTCGCCAAAAAATGCAGTGTCGACCATTCCTCTACAAAGAGAGAACCCACAAAGGGAGGGGGGGGGGGGGGGGGGGGTTCGATAACGGACACAGTCACAAACCAACAGTGCCTGAAAAACAAACCAACAGTGCCTGAAAAGACAAACACCACGAGTTTCACAAAATAACCCTGAAGCAGAACATGAATGAGTCTTCTTCGAACATGAGTTCAGCTTCAAAGATCGCCACCTGCTCGCCCCGACACAAATCGGGGAAGTGGGTGGGGGTGGGGGTGTGGGCAAGGGAGGGCAGACGGAGATCTTTGAGGTTGAACTTGTGCTCAATCGCATTTCATAACACTATCATTCCTAACCCAATAACAACTGCAGCTCGAATTCGGCCATCACGGCTTCGTTCGGGGATGGAAATACACACACAGCGTCGTTGAATTTGGTACGTTCCAGCTTCTTCTTGTAGCAAAATAATCCGCTCGGCGATTTTAGGGTAATTGGGTGGTCGCAGTAACGCCCCACCTTCGCAGCAGTTTCAATGAAACGGCGTCGCCGCGTCGATCGTTTTCTACAATCGACGCGCTCGCAGGGGCGACAATTCGCACGACGCCCCAAACCCTCGACTTGACTTCGTGGTCACGGTCTGTTCATCCAAAACTCGGTTTTCATCCATTTTCTTCTCATCCATCGAAGTCAAGACAAGGTTTGAGTCAAAGTCGCGAATGGGAGGAACTGTCCTCGAACTTGCTCGTGGAGAGGATGGATGAAGATGTTTGTTGAAGACGATTATCTAAATTGAGACTTTGGATAGTTCTAAAAAACTATAATAGTTATAATAGTTATAATAGTTAATTATTTTCTTCAAGATAATATACATATTTTCTATAAAAATGAAAGACTAATATAATTTATTTTATTATTTTTTACCATTGAATATCTTGTGGTGCAATTCACTATTCATTATTTTGATATAGGTAATGGTAATAGGTGATAGGTAATAATATAGGTAATGGTAATAGGTAATAGGTAATAATATAGGTAATGATATAGGAGATGGTAATAGGTTATAGTAAATTAATATTCTTAATGAAGTTTCCTTTTCTTTTCATTTTTCATTTTTTTACCTTCAAAATACACTGTAATTTTTTTTTAAAGGTAATTTATAAATTTTGCAACAATGGCATGATTTTGGGACAAAGTTATAGATGGTGGTGAGATAATAAATAATAGGCTCATGCTACAAGCACATCTCAAATTGCTATAAGCATATCTATTATGTTTATATTCACAAATGTTTATACATACACCCTAGGCCTAGGCCTTTGATTGGCTACCCTAGATCCCTTTTCATTGCCTTGGCACAAGTCCCAATCCCTTCCTTTCCTTTTTTGTTCTTATATTGGAACAAGGAAGAGGAGGTACAGAGCAGCCAATCAAAGGCCTTAGGTGTGTGCATACCAATTTGAGGTGTGCATGTAGTGTGAGCTTAAATAATTAAATCTTATGACATAGATAATAGTAAATTAATGAAAATCTAAATTTTTAAGAGATGCCATATAAAGACACCATTATTTTTATTTTGAAGCAATGACTTTGTCATACTAAACAAAATCTTCCAAAATTCTTGTAAACTTGTTATATACACATGTTTGCCAATTCCTAAAATGTAAAACACACAATATACATATTATTTTAATTCTATATTCTATGGAATAATCATGAATAAAAATAAAAATAAAACTTAATATGTGTGTATATATATATATATATATATATATCAGAATAAATTAAATGTAAAATTAAAAAATAATTATTATAAAGTTATGGATTAACTTGTTAAATAATAATTAAAATGTTAATTTACATGCATTATTATGTTTGCACACATCCATGCACAAATTTTGGGCTTGGAATGGGATGTCTGACTCGGTGGGTACAGTTTTGTGCACTTCTGGTGTCTTCAGTGATGCCACAAATGGGACGGATCTATGTTTGGAGCTTCGATACAATGGTGGAACTAGATCTTTGACACCGATTATTGTTGCATGTAATTGAGGTTTTAATGAACTGTACCATTCCGCTTTGAATCCAGAAAGCCCCAAACCGACTGTCTGATACACAAGCTCACCAACCTACGAATTGCAGCTTCCAAATGCTTGAACAACTGGTGCATTCGTGCAAACTATGTGCAGAACGCGAGGGCTTACGGAATTGCAGATGGACAACTATTACGGTGTCGGTGATGGATGATGTGGTGGTGAAGGATTTACCGCAATTGTGTGTTGGGTTGTGACCAATACGCCGTTTGAAAAAAGCCTTTTGCAGAGTGTTTCTCTCTCTCGTGGATGAGGTCTATGTTTCACCCATCTTGCCGATTTGCGTTCCTGGCCATAGTTTTCGTCCAGGCCTGTGATCAGCAGAGGGGTACTTGGTTTCTCTTGCAGCCTTGATGGCACAAGAGAATTCACCGGAACCAAAATGTTAGCCAGTCGGCAATAAACATGATCACAACATGTGACATTCTCTCTTGAAAAGATCAGCAACTCTTGTGACGTCGTAATGTGTTTGGTGAAGTTTCAATATGTGTGGTTCAGTGATGCATCTGAACATACTTGTGCTGGTTCGCTATCCTCATTTGAATTGTTCCTCGATTCCAACTATTATCGCTCAATCGTGAGTCGCATCAACGTGGCGACTTCATGTTGGACCAGTTTCATGCATAAGCTGGCTATTTGGAGCACTCGTGGAGTTTATAGAGTTCAACGTAAATAGAAGGTACAGCAGGATGGAACTTAACTGCATACACTCATACTGGGAACTTGGCAAATTTTCTGAGAAGTAACTGACTTTGAATCGTAATGGCTAAAAAAACTGTGAGCATTCTCTGAAACTGTTTTGAACACATTGGTGCTATTTGTTTTACATTGGGAAGTTACACAGTTACGGTGATACACCGCGTGATTCAGCACACCATCACGGAACCGTTACAATGATTCGGTGGGGGGGATTATACAATCACATAACTCTCTCGTTGCGTTCTTTATAGGGTTCTCGTTTTGTTTCAGCGGCGATCTTAATGGAATCGGGTTCTTGCGGCACATATTATTTTGGATTTAATCACTCCGCTCTCGCAATCCAAATGCTGTTTCCGCCAAACACAAAAGCTCACGTCTCCATGGACCACAAATAAAAGTAAATCATTGCATTACATACCAACGCTGCCTCGTCGTCTTCAACCCCAGTTTCTTCTTCGTCTTTGGCAACTCAGGTTGTGTTGTGGAATGTTTTCCCGAGTTGCAACTGGGGCACCAGAAGTCATCAGAATTTTTTGCGTGCTTTGAGGAGGCAAACAACGGTCATGCGTGAAACTCGAAATCGTTGTCTCAAGGAGGTTTAATTATCGCAATTATGATGAGTGAAGTGATGGAAGAGACATTGATAAATAATTACCTCTGTATAACGCCTCTTTTGAGGAATTTATACAGTTCGATAAACGGGATCAAAGATCACAATATATTGCAGGGATCCTAAATCATAGACGAGTGACCACAAACATTTCATCAGAAGATGGTTGCGATTTTAGCCATTTTGACAAATTCACAATTTCTTCAGAATTGGCGCTCCATGTGTTTGCCAGAACTGTAGTTCACTTCCACATAAATTCCAACTATGACTACTGCTAGATTTCATGTACTTACAAAGGAAGGTTGATCTCCCTGAAGAATATCAAAGGTCACAAAGGCGCACATCGAGAGTCGTCCAGCAACTAACATGACAACCCAGTGAGTCAAGTGTCTGCAATAACATCCAGTGTCCCACTTCTCACAGACCTCCACGGGTTCTGCATAATCATGTTATGTGTGCAGCTATGCCTCAATACAGCCAATGCAGTTAAAAGCCAAGTCCTGAGCAGCACGGAATCAGCCAATCTCGAAGTATGGAGAAGCGATTTGGATGCTACAATGTCAACAGGTCGCACTCCGTCTTCAGCATGATCTTGCAGTTACTTTTTCCTGGTGCTGTGCTTCTGATGCAAGCACAAGGACGAGAATTCGACTACAGGGAAGCGTTGGAGAAGTCTCTCCTGTTCTACGAAGGACAGCGATCTGGGAAGTTGCCTGAAACTCAGCGCATGAATTGGCGGGGCGACTCTGCCCTTGTGGACGGTAATGCCTCCCAAGTATGAACGCCAGTACCACCATAAAAACGTCGTTTTAATAATCAATCAACGATTGATTCAGTTTGTAATTTTACCCTGGCTAACAATAAAATAGAATTGCGAAGAGCGTGAAATTCAGTCATAGCACTGGCTTCATAGCTCTGAAGGTTAAAAGTCCGTGCGAGGAATTAGGCAAGTTATTTTGAGATTATCACGTTGAATTATTGAGCAGGTGGATTTGAGAGGAGGATACTATGATGCGGGGGACAACGTGAAGTACCAGTTTCCGATGGCATTTACCACTACTTTGCTTTCATGGAGTGTGATGGAGTACGAGAGCGAACTACTCCTTGCCAACCAGTTACAACATGCACACGAAAGCATCAGATGGGCCACAGATTATTTCCTCAAAGCTGTCACAAGTCCAACTCAAATCTGGGTTCAGGCAAGTCCCAATTCTCTTATTGGATGTTGGAACATCTGAGATTGTCATGGCAGAGCAGAAACCACAAAAGAAGTTAACGCAGAAGGGAAATAAATTGCAGTCCTCAGTGAAAAAAAACTTCACGAAGTATGCCTGATTGTGTGTTTGCAGGTTGGAGATCCACACAGCGACCATGAGTGTTGGGAAAGAGCGGAGGATATGGACACACTTCGGTTAACATTGCAGATCAATGAAACCACCCCAGGCACCGAAGTGGCTGCCGAGACAGCAGCTGCTATGGCGGCGAGCTCCATTGTGTTTCGAGCCTCTGATCCTCTCTATGCCGAGAGGCTTCTAGGAACGGCAATGACAGTAAGTTTTCTGACTGTGATTCTTTTGGTTTATAAGAACAATGAATAAACAAAGTATCAAAGAAAATAGTTTAGCTTGCAAATTCATGACGAGGTACCGCTATCTGGTTTCCTTCTCTTTTTGTCTGAGATTTGTTGTGTGCAGGTTTTCGATTTCGCAGACAAGTATCGAGGCACATACCACGGCGCTTGTCCGTTTTACTGCTCATCTGGATACAATGTACAGTATAATCAGTTTATTTATTTGAGTGTGCTATGTGGGGATGTTCATAGAAGCGTATTCACTACTCACCGTTCAATAGAATATGTGCGCTTCAATCAAGGTACATGTGCTTTTGTAGAAAGCATTAAAATATATGATGATAACATGGACCTCAGGATGAGCTTCTATGGGCCGCTGCCTGGTTGTATCAAGCCTCCAATGACACAAAGTTTTTGAAATATGTGGTTGACAACTCCACGCTGAGCCACGAAGTTAGTGAGTTCAGTTGGGACAACAAACATGCTGGAACTCAAATTCTGCTCACAAAGGTATCCATCCATTCGTTACATTAACTTCTAAAAATCCCATTGTCTCTAGTACTAAAAAACCTATGAGCTTAAAAGTTGCCAGAACCCCCCCCCCTTGCATGCTCCCATGTGATCTTTCTGTGTCTCACTGAAAGCGAAAAACTCCTTTCCAATGTATTTAGTATGTAATCTGCTTAACACGATACATCCTGGCTTAAGATGATATATTCGGAGAGTTCATACTAAAAGATCCCAATGTTTAAGCACTTTCCACATGAAACCTGCAGCAAAACTGTTGCTTACAGTGTTAATGGATTTGGATACTGTGCACAATGATGTCTGTCCTGGAAATGTTTCAGATGTGCCGGGATCACTTAATGATAATCTCATGCACAGCTATTCATGCAGCAATATGAGCGAGATACAGATTTTGGTTTACTTTCTGGTTTCGCATTGAGTTCAATGTTCTCTTTGCAGTCTGAACACCATAGTAAGAAAAAATTCTCAGAGAGATTTCCGCACACTTGTGTCACTTCCATGATGGAGTCGGTTGTCATAGAGAATGGTCTCCTCGTCCCATTTACATTGCTACCACATATCCTGATTCAGGAGGTATCCCAAATTTTTGTTAGCAGGCTACACACCAAAAACGCTTGAAAGCTAGTGAATTATACTCCAAAACGAAAAATAGAAGACCCCATTTTAGGCAATGCTGTGAACTTTGTAGAACATAGCATCATATTTGCAGGGGCCGGAAATTATTTGCATATATATATATATATATATATTCGTATAACAATTTGAATGTCTGTGCTGGCAGCTGTATTTGGCAGGAGAAACTTCCCTTGAGCCATATGCAAAGCATGCAGCAGCCTTTGTCTGCCATGTCCTTCCAGCAAACATGTGGAACAAAGTTTCCTACACTCCAGGTGAGGCTACATTTCTTTACAGTGTTTGCAGATCTTGATCCTTCTCCGGTACATGTATGATACATACATTGAAAATTCTGCAGGTGGGTTGCTTTATGTCCGCGTAGGGGCGAATACGCAATATGTGACAGGATCCTCTTTCATAATTGTTGTATTGGCCGACTCCCTTGCAAATTCAAACGGAGCAAAGTTGATGTGTGGCAATGTTTCGTATGCTTCTCAGAACCTGTTGGCACATTCCAAAAACCAGGTGAGTAGTTCCAATGTCTTGTCAACATCCCACTTTACTATCAGTTTACAGAAGAGAAACTTGCTTATCGAAAAAACAGTGAAAATTATCATCAATTTGACCAGTCTTAGTTCAAGGAATCCTGCACTGTAACACCAATCAACGCGCAGAGTTGTTGGTTTTTCTTCTCTGCTTCACATGGAGGTGAATTTTGGCATCATAAACTTGCAGGTTGATTACATTCTGGGTTCAAATCCTTTGAACATGTCTTACATGGCTGGTTTCGGCCCGAAGTATCCGACTCAAGTTCACCAAAGAAGCGCATCCATAATATCCATTCATGAAAGCCCCCTGCACGTCGGTTGTGGGCAGGGCTTTGTGGACTGGTTTCCGAGCGACAATCCCAACCCAAATGTTTTAGTTGGAGCCATTGTGGGAGGCCCTGACATAAACGACAATTTCAAAGATTCGAGGCGGGACTCCTCATGCACTGAACCAACAACTTACATCAACTCTGGATTTGTCGGTCTGCTGGCCCGTTTGTTGAGGGACGGAACCTGAGAAAAAATACTCCAAATTCATGCTGGCCCTACTATGAAAAGGTTTGAAATCCTTGATTAAACAATCAAACAATTCTTACCAGGAATATGCGTGTTAGACATGTTCTTAAAGCGCATTCTTAAGACAAGCTAGATCAATAAAACCGAGAATATAGTCACTGTACAACTTGTTGTTTTAATGAAAATTATCTGTATAATAGAAAGGAAGAAGGGTTTATTGATATTATATAATTAACCTTTCGGCATTTTTCTGACCTCAAATGAACTAGACCTAGTGAGCACCAATACCATGTGTATTTTTGCTTCCCACAAAAAAAAATATTCTCTAGTACAAAGAATTGAGAAGAAGCATGCACTTCCTAGCAAAATATCTTGTAAAGGTTTTTTTCACTATATCTACTAGGTTTAGATGATTGAATAACTTGCCTCTAAATTAGATTAAATTGTAGATATTCAATATGTGCAAGTAAGACATGGCCCTTATACTATTATTGTCCAAAAAAGTTCACTACTAAGACATTATAGCTTGTTTTGTAAATTATATATTACTAAAATTGAGTTTTACAACCATAACATATTTGTACAACAATTTGGCATTTTTGAAGACATGGAATAGGTTTATGCAGCAAAGACCACATATATCATAAAAAGCATTGTAAAAAATATACTAAATTCAATTACACATCTTTGAGATAACACCGTTTTAATATTGCACCAATATCTTATGTAACAAGTCTAGTCATAAATGAGTGATTTGTCATAAGAAGTGTACTTTTTAGCCTCCATGTTATAGAAGACTTGTTCAATCTAGAAGATTAGTTATTTACATATCAACTTGAGATTAAAGAATATCATTGCTATAAGCTACAACATAGAATAATGAGACTAATCTTGAATGAAATCAAATTTATTGCTATCAAGGCTAACAATTAAAATCATTTATATAAAAATAAAATCTATAATGTAACTTTAAGTATAAAATATAAAAAATTAAAAAATATATATAAAAACAATCTAAATAGCATAACCATTATGAAGATAGAGATACTAGAGCCTAATGCTATGAATGATGAATGAAAATTAGAAAAAAAGAGGACTAAAAAGAAATAAAAATAAAAAACAAATTGCATACTTCAATAGTGACAATTCAAATTGTATTTGATAATTCATTTAAGCTATTTTTTGCTTCTTTGGAACTAATAAAATAACATTTTTTTGTGTATAGCTATAAAATTAGAAACTTCTTCTAAAAACTTATTAAGAACATGAATCATAAATAATCAAAATTCCAACTCTCTCTTACATTATTTAATGAGAGTAGATATTTACTTAAGAATATATAATATTAAAACTAGAATGGCTATTTCCAAAGGTAAAAAAACTACAAGCTTCTAAAAAGCTACTCTTTAAGATATTATTAAATTTATCTACATTTATTTATTTATATCCAATTCTTCTATTCAGGTAATTATAAATGTTGATTATATCTATGATATTATATCACGGACATACTCATGTAAGCTAGTAATTACATATACAAATAGGTAGAAGTAAGTAAAAGTAGATAAAAGTAAGTTAATTCTATAGTATTTAATATGGAAGCTTCCTAGAAGCTTCATAGATGCTGCTTTGACTTCATAGGTGTCTTTAATTGACTTTTTGGATTAGAAACGTAGTCAACAAGTTGGCCATGTGCCACACATGTTGTTAGCTTGAAGATCAAGCTAACTATGTGGCCCACACGTAGAAAAATTTGCCTTGTAAGTCAAGGCATGTATCCTACAAAGTCAACACATATTGGAGGTCCTATAGACCGTCGCCATGTAGCCCCTAGTTAAATAGTATATATAGAGACAAGAGTGAAGCCTTCTTCACTCTTGTCAACTCCTTTCTTGCTTCTAGTCTAGTTTCAAGGATCTCTAATTTTCTTGTCTTTTGGCAATAGCCAATAAAGTTTCTCTTTCAATATACATACTTATCTATTTATATTTTGTTATATTTTTTTGAGTGAAGGCTCACTTGTTTGAATTACTTTTTCATCGAACTCTTGTCCTTGACAGATTGACAAGAGTACACTTATAATATCAGAGCTTTGTCTAATCTTGATTAAGAGTGGATTACCCCTTTTTCTTGATAAGATATAAGCATATTAGAAGTTGCGGATTACCCTCTTCTAAACTGATATTGTCCTTAGTATTTTCTTTGTTCCCAAGTCCTCTCTTCTATTTGACTTGAGCGATATTAGACATCTTCTCTCTTCTGAGTGTTATCATAGCAGAACTTGTTGAAATGAAGAGTACAATGGCACAAATGTAAAAGCAATTGAGGGAGTTAATGCTTGCAATTCATCAACTCAATTTACCACCACAAAGAGCAACAAGATTGGTAGGAAGTGAAGATATAGAAATGGTTGGAGCTACTTCAACATCTGCACTAAACCATGCCCTTTCTCCTATGGTGGAACGCCCTTCAAATATTACAGAACCAAGAATTGCCCTACCCGAGAAGTTTGATGGCACTAGATCCAAGTTCCGAAGATTTATCAATCAAGTACAACTTGTGATTGAACTTCAATCCCAAAGCTATCAAATTCCAGGATCGCAAGTTAGATTCATTTGTACGCTTCTTTCAAGTTCAGTACTATTGTTGTTTTCATCTTTTCTTGAACGACGAGATCCAATATTAGATAATCTAGAGACTTTTTTGGCAGAGTTTCGATCCATGTATAGAAAACATGATGTAATTCATGTTGCAACCAATAAGATCCGTATTTTACGACAAGGCAATCGATCAGTAACGTTGTACGCTTCACAATTTTGACAACTTGCAACTGATATCAAGTGGGATGATGCTGCATTTATTAGCCAATTTCTCTATGGATTACAATATGAGGTAAAAAAATTAATGCTCAACTTATCTGATCCTCAAACATTGAGTCAAGCAATTGACTTTGCTGTGAAGTGCGACAATTGCCTTTTTGAATTCGGATCTGAGAACCGTATAAGTGAACCTCAACATTACTATAATTCAATGGCAACACCAACACCTCTTTAACACATACATTCAGAAGTAGAGGATATGCAAATTGATGCAGTACGTTTCAAACCTCTTATTGAGCAAGAAAAGACTCGTTGTCGTCAAGAAGGATTATGTTTATATTGTGGAGAATCAAAACACACTGCTCAACATTGTCCAAAGAAATGACGCAATTACAAAATGAAAAGTATGGCTGTGAAAGAAGACAATATGTCAGAAAACGAGTTTGTTCAACTACAATAGAGATCGTGCGGCTGGAACCTTGCACAACATCTAGTAAAGGTCCTATTCTCTCCTCAAAGCCCTCTCCTTGTTTTACATTAAATATTATTTTAGGACCTAAATATTACAAAGTCTTTGCCTTGTTAGATTCAGGAGCCTCAACTTGTTTTTTAAATGAAGAATTTACTAAAAGACATAGCATATCTTTAGTAAAGAAAACTAAACCTGTTCATGTAGAAGTCATAGAAAATCGTCCATTGTCTTTTGGAGATATTACTCACGAAACCCTTCGTATAGAAGTAATAATCAATGGTCATAATAGTTTTTTAGTATTTAATATCATTAGATCTCCCTCTAATCCAATCATTTTAGGTTTATCGTGGTTAGAAAAATACAACCCTCAAATAGATTGGATTTTTCAAACTCTTACTTTCTCTAAAAGTATAACTAACAAAGTAGTTAATCAAGTAGAGAGTCATAAGTCTAGTTCAATTAAACTCGTATTTATAGGTACAAAAGCTTTCTTGCATGCTGCTATGAAAGAATCACCATATATTATTTATGCCACACCTGTTTCTATTGGTGAAAAGACTTCAAGTGGCATTCCAAGCCAATATCAAGGATTTCAAGATGTATTCGAAAAAAAGAATGCGGGTACACTCCCAGAACATCGTCCCTATGATTGCTCAATTGACCTTCAAAAAGGAACACAACCACCATTTGGACCAATCTACAGTTTATCACAAAATGAGTTGACTGAACTCAAGGAGTATATTAAAGAAAATCTAGCCAAAAATTTCATATACCATTCTAAATCTCTGGCAAGAGCTCCAATTCTATTTGTGAAGAAAAAAGATGGATCATTACGGATGTGTGTTGATTATCAAGGACTCAATAAGATTACCATCAAGAACAGGTATCCACTACCTTTAATATCTGGACTTCTTGATTAGCTGATTCAAGCTAAGATCTATACAAAAATAGATCTTCATGGAGCATATAATCTAGTACGCATCAAAAAAGGAGATGAATGGAAGACTGCATTTCGAACTAGGTATGGACATTTTGAATACAACGTCATGCCTTTTGGACTTACAAATGCACCAGCAGCTTTTCAACATCTAATGAATGATGTTTTTCAAGAGTTTTTGGACGATTTTGTGGTCTGTTATCTAGATGACATCTTTATCTATTCTAAGAATCCAGAAGAACATGAACTTCATATTCGTCATGCGTTACAAAAATTAAGAGATGTGGGACTTTATGCCAAGATAGAAAAGTGTGTATTCTACATTACTCAAGTCGATTTCTTAGGTTACATCATTTCAAATGATGGACTTATGATGGATCCTAAGAAAGTTGAAACTATTATAGATTGGAAGATCCAAAAAATAGTAAGAGATGTTCAATACTTTTTGGGATTTGTCAACTACTCTCAAATCTTCATTAAAGACTTCTCTCGAGTTGCAGCTCCACTTACACGTTTGACTTGTAAAGACAAACTCCAATGGAATCAAGAAGCGGAAGTTCCTTTTGAATCTTTGAAGATAGCGTTTGTTTTTGCACCAATCTTGTATCATGTTGATTTTTTCAAAGCATTCTTTATGGGAACAGATTTATTACACTTTGCTCTGGGTGTGGTTTTATCACAAATGGGAACAGATGACAACCTTCATCCAGTAGCCTTTCATTCAAGAAAATTCTCAGCAGTAGAAATCAATTATGAGATCCATGACAAGGAACTTCTTGCAATTGTGGATTCTTTTCAAGAATGGTATCATTATCTAGAAGGCGCTTCCAGTCCAATCACCGTATATACGGATCACAAGAACCTCAAATATTTTATGTCAGCACACATATTAAATCATTGTCAAGCTCGTTGGAGCATGTCTTTATCAAGATTCGAGTTCGTCATCACTTCTCGGTCAGGAAAACAACAAGGTTTGTCCAATGCCTTGTCTAGACGTTCTTATCTTGCACCAAAAGAAGGAGATGCATCTTGTGAGCCACAAAGAACGGTTCTCTGAAAGCCGGAGCAATTTCATCTTCAAGCAATAAAATCAACATTGACTGTTGATTTAACTTTTCTTAAGTAAGTCCAGTTAAGTATGTCTTCAGACCCTCTTATTCATGATATCAAGAATAATTCTTCTAAATTTC